CTTCTCTCCCCATTCAGGTCCCAGAATTCTAGCAGCCAGGTCTTCACCCACCAAGTGTGAGGCTGGAAGACCATTCTCTGGAGAGTCTGACTGGCCTAAGAAAATATCTAAATATGTCAATGAGTGGGTGAGGGGGGTCCCCAACTGAAAGACCTAGTCAGGTCACCTTGTAGTCTTACCTTGAGGCAAGACCCTGCTATGAAGGACAGCCACTAAAATAAAGAAGAAAACAGCAAACAAAACAATTTGGGGGAAAAACAGACTGTAAGGTACAAGAAAATGAATTTTAAAAGTTACAAACTTAGAGAGACAAAAGAAAAGACTGTATTCATGAAAATATTTTACTACTCTAAAGAGGAAGATTCAGAGAACAAATAAGAGCTCTTAAAAATTAATACAGAGCTGGGCATAATAGTACAAACTTGTAATCCCAGTTACTCGGGAGATGGAAACAAGACATGGTTTAAGATCAGCTCAGGCAAAAAGTTAGATCCCCATCTCAACAAATAAGCTGGGTGTGATGCTATGTGCTCGTGGTCCCAGCTATCTGGGAGACATAGTTAGAAGGTCTGTGGTCTGAGGCCAGCCCTGGGGAGAAAAGATAGTATCCTATCTGAAAAATAACTAAAGCAACAAAAAAGGGCTAGGGGCATGGCTCAAGTACCTGCCTAGCAAGAATGAGGCCCTAAGTTCAAACCCTGGTACTAAAAAAGAAAGAAAAAAGAAAAAAAAAAAAAACCAAAAGTAACACTCATGAGAAGTGTTGGAAAATGGATTTGAGGAAACCTCTCAGAAAGTAGGGCAAAAACAAGATGGGAAGAATAAAAGTAGAGATGCCCCCCAGGAGCTTCAACATCAAAACAAGCAACTGGGAGTTAGGGAGAGAAAAGAGATGACTGAGGCCTTCAAAGTTCTGAGGGAAAAGAATTTCCATCATAGAATTCTGTGTCTATCCAAACTATGAAGTCAATGTGAGGGCAGAAGAAAGTCATGTCAGACATGCAAAGGACTTCTATGCAATCATACCAGCCATACCAAGACCAAAATCAAAGAAAATTCCTCACTGTTTTCTGTTTCAAAGGCATAGTGACTCACAGCTGTAATCCCAGCTACTCTGCTGGCGGAGATCAGGAGTATCAGTGCTTGAGGCCAACCCCAGCATCTCAAATAATTAGCCGGACACAGTGGTACACTCTACTCCCACAGCTATCACAGCTATTTAGAAGGCATAGGGACTGCTGGAGTGGCTCAAGTGGTAGAGTGCCTGCCTGGCAAGCATGAATCTCTGGGTTCAAAGTATCACCAAAAAATAAGCAACTTTGTAGAAGGCATGGGTAGGAGGATTGCAGTCCAAGGCTCACCTGGGCAAAAACTCAAAAAAAAAAAAAAAAAAAAACCAGAAAAATTACTAAGGCAAAAAGGTCTGGAAAGCATGACTCAAGGACACCTGCTTAGCAAGCTCCAGTACCACCAGAAAAAATAAACTTTTTTATTTAAAGGTGGTTGAGTTAGGAAAATTACTAAAAGAAAGTAGGAAGTAATAATAATAGTCATAATAATAATAAATGAGAATAAAAATTTGAACTATTTGAATTCACATACAAATATATCCCAAGTGCCTACTTATTGCAAGCATGCTGAGGGTAACAGCAGTAAACATATGGTACATTAGAAAAATGTTTAAATAATGATTAAACATCTACTTAGTGAAATAGTATATAACCACTAAAAATACATTGAATACCAGAAACAGAATATGTTTATAATGTAATGTGAAACGAAAAAAATGCATGCTGTGAACAAAGTTGAAAGGAAAGTCATCAACCTGAAATAAGTGTGCTAGGATGGTGGAATTATGAATGTATTTTTCCTTTTTCAAAAACCCTTTAACTTGACATTGGGATTTCAAATAGAAGCATCAAAAAATAGAGTTGTTAAAAATCATATGTTGTCTGTTTAAAATTTTATGTTAAGTATTTCATTTGGAAACACTTGTCATTTAAAAATACTTTTATTGTCTGAAATCTTTATAGCTCTTAGCCTTTTACAGGATGTTAAAGGACTCTGGTGCCATCTAAGGAATTCTTATAAGCAGGGATATCGCTTATCTTTTCCTTAAGAAAGAGAATGAAAAACTTATCCACTTTGGATGGGAAAATCAGGGTCACTTGGTTAGATGTCATCATAAACTTGTTATATTCCAGCCATGTTGGGGAAGACTAGGCTATCAGAAGACCTGGGATCCTGAATCAGAGGCCAGCAAAGCCAGTTTACCCTTGCCTGTGAATGAGCTCTATGAGCCTCAAGGCAGGGAAAACACACTGCCTGCCTCTGAGCCAGAGAAAGGTCCCTGGCAGCAGGTGTCAGCTGGTGCCATGTTTGCTGGAGAGGGCATGTTACAGAAGTGATATCAGCAGTGCTGTTCCTGAGAGGTACATTCTACAGGTAGTAAAAGACTGTTTTAGCACTATGTGTTTGTGTCAAACATTTCAGCATTCCCAAGTGAGGTACCATGTAAAAAATTATTTTAGACTGTGGCAGCAGCAAAAACCTTCTTGAACTAGCTAATTAGTTGGAACCTTGGACTTTGAGTCTAAGTAGGGTTGTTCTGGGCTCCCGAGGGATCTGACAGCTCAGGAAGCCTTGGAATAAGTGTCCTAAGCACTCCTTGGGATGGATCACACTGTGTCATGAGTCTTTTTATGTTGAAGGAGAGTGGGAAAGACACAGCATCATGTGAAGTCTTATTCAGTCAGATCACACACTTTTTTTAAGGGTAATCTTGGCTCTTTAAATATTTTGAAATTAAAAAAAAACTGGAGGAAAGCTAAATATAAGATAGTCTACTGGATGGGACAGAAAAGGACATTAGGGAAAACTAATGAATGTGAATAAAGCGTAGAGTTCAGGCAATAGCTATCTACAAATGTTGGTCCATTGGTTGTGACAAAGAATGTTAACAGTAAGGGAATCGAGGTGTGCAGCAGATGGGAATTCTCTGTGCTATCACTGTGATTTTTCTATAAACCTAAGTCTGTTCTAAAATAAAAGTTTATTTAAGTAAAAAATAGCAGTAAAGAGCTTTAATCTCAATCTCAGACGAATCACAACTTTAGCGTGTCCCTGCCGTGTGACCATAACTAAGCATCAACCAATATCAGATGTCAGTCTAATTATAGAACCTGTTATTTTCAGTGGTAGGGAAAAAATCATGCAAGTTAAAACTGCAAGTCAAAATATGTAAATCACAGAATGTGGAAGTGATAAAGCAGCAATGTTTAGAGGAGGCATTGTAGAAAATAGGAACCCCTTAAAATTTCTCGAATGAGGAACTGCAGTTGAAAGAAAGCAGGAGTTTAGGGATTTGCTCTCTCTGCAGATTGCCAAATGGATTGAAGTTAGGAATCCATTGGAGGCTCAGCAAACAGATGATAATTGGAATATGAAACTAAAATCTCAAGACCAAACCCTTAAATGAAACTTTTAGCAAGGGTTTTAAGCAATGTTCTTCTTAGTGCCACACACAGCTTGTTTTAGACGCCTGGGGACAGGTGTATTAGGAGATCTTAGCCTGATGCCATAGGACAGTCAATCATAGGACTACTTCATATCCCTCGTTCCCAGTCCAAGCTCTCCAGGCATGCTGTGGTCAAGATGTCTTGTCACCTCTGCTTGTTTTACAGTGGGCTAATGCATGCTTGGTAGTCAAGCTGAGTCTGTACTTCTGTCTCTTCTTGTTAACTGGTCACTCGGGGTTTTTAAAAGTTGTTGGAAAATTATTTGAAATTTATAGAAAAACTGTAAGAATAAGATTTTCGGGGGGTGGTGTTGGGGTTTAAGGGCACTGGCCCTCACACTTGTTAGGCCAGTGTTCTACCACTTCAGCCATACCTCCAGGCCTTTTGTGTGTGTGTGTTGGTTATTTTTAGATAGAGTCTAATTTTATGTCTGGACTGGCCTAGTCCACAAGTCTCCTTTTTGTGTTTCCCCTAATAGCTGGGATGACAGGCATGAACCACAGTGCCCAGCCATTGGTTGAGATGGGGTTTTGCAAACGTTTTGCCTAGGCTGGCCTTGAACGTCCATCTTCCAGATCTCTACCTCCTGAATAGCTAGGATTACAAGAGTGAGCCACAATGCCCAGCCTTTTATATCTATTATTTTTAATCACTTGAGAATAATGTGCATTCATCATAATTCTTTCATTCTAAATACTTCAATGTATATTTCCTAAGAATAAGGCCGTCTTATTATAGAACCACAGTATTATTATGACTGTCCTCAGTTTATTTACTCAGTCAGTTTCATAAATTGAACTGAATTATGGGAACACCCATTACCCTAGTCTGACCTGTCTCACTGCTAGCTGAATGACAGGAATGAAAAATCCAAAGTCTCACGTAAATTTCAGAGTTGTGACTTTTAAGAGTACTAAGATCAAATTTTTCAGATAAGCTTAGAAGCTGACTCATTATGGGTTGGTGTCACTTAACTCAGTGATTCTAAAAACCTTTGTCAAAGAATGATACTGATTCCAATCATGGAAAACATGAACCTAGCATTCTTTGCAGTGTGTTAGGTGCTGTTCTAAGCACTTTTTATTTATTAATGTATTTAATCCTCACAACAACCTTACAGGAATGTACCACAATTATTTTCATTTTGTGTTTGGGGGAAATATGGACACAGAGATGAAATATGTTGCCTGCAGAATACACAGTCAATAGGGAGGTAGAATCAAGATTCAAACCCAGGCTCTCTCAGATATCCTGTTTATTTGTTAATCTAAGTGTGTGTGTGTGTGTGTGTGTGTGAGAGAGAGAGAAAGAGTGTGTGTGTGTGTGTGTGTGTGTGTGTGTGTGTGTGTGTTGCTGCCTCACATTTCATGGATGTCTTCTCTAAAGATTATCCCACATTATTTCTGGTTATTGATTGCTTCTCGCTGTGTCTTGTTCCCTTAGGAGAGAAGCATTCATTCTTTTGATGTGTTTATTTTTCAGCTGAGGAAAAGGTGACTGGTCTCATGAGGCCGGAAGAATGGACTCAGAGGAGGCTGTTTACACGAGCTTCTCCCACATACCAGCTGTTGTGAGTCTGGGAGGAAGAGCAGGATCTTATTACTTCAATGAAGCCTGGGACAAGATTCCCCAACCACCACCAGCCAAGTGGATTTGCTGCAGTGGGGCTGTCTAATAAATGATTAATCCCAAGCATTTGATAGTAATCTGTCTTGCAGCAGTGTCTTCAAACTTTGTGTTGCTTTCTCTCCCAGCCTTGCATATATTTAAGAATCTCTCCCTGCTTCTTACCTAGTGTCAGAATTGGCCTGATGTCTGGATATGCAAGGGAATTCTCTTAGTGCAGCCTGGGTTTGTCCTCTTTAACCCTGCTATTTATAGAACTGATGTGGCTAATAACTACTTCAGATCAAGCATTAGGATGGATGTTCTAGCACTTAAATAGCCCTGAAAGTTTGTGCCTGTTATTGTTATCTCCACTTTGCCTATGAGGAAATGGAAGCCCAGAGAGGTGGTGTGCTGTGGATAAGATCACACAGTTGACAGGATTAGGATTCAAATCCAGGACTAACTCCAAAGCCCCTTCACTGTAACGCTATGCTTTGCTCCTTATTGCTCCAGATAGTTACCCTATAATATCATCACAGGTATCACTTACTCTTGTGAATGGGAGTGGGGATGGTGATGTATTACGTGGAAATGTCTCAGAGGAAGGATCAGGGAGACATCAGCAGTACAGAAGAATCACAGAAGGATTTTCTAAGCAAAATAATAATGTTCTTTTATGGCCTGTCTGTCAAATCTGGCCCCCAACCTTTTTTTTTGTAAATAAAGTTTTATGAGACTACAATGACACCCAGTCCATTATATGTTGTCTACAACTGCTTTCTCTCTATAATGACAAAGTTGCATAATTGTACCAGAAACATATGGCCCACAAAGCCTAAAATATTGACTATATGGCTCATTCAGGAAAAGCAACCCTAATTTAGATGATCCATTTATTATATTTTCCATTGGACTGAAAAACTACTTAAAGATTTATAATGGTGGTGATGGAATGGAGTTGTGGGGTTCTAACTAGGGAAAGGAAGGGGATGGAGCAGAACAAAGAGGTCAGGGCCTCTGGTTCCCAGTCAACTTCTCACCTCAGACTTCTTCCACTCATGTCCTTCCTATTCTTCCTGCCAAATTCCATCCTAAAATAAGTCTTTGTTCATAAACATGTAAGTGGTTTTCCACATACAACATACTCAAATCCTAACACCTTGGCTTGAATTCAAAGACCATGACAGTCTGACCTCTAATAATTTTTCTCCCTACCTTCTCCCCTCCTTCCTCTTTTTTTTTTGTTTTGGAGGTACTAGAGTTTGAACTCAGGCAGGCAATCTACCATTCAAGCCATGCCTCCAGCCCTTTTTGCTTTATTTTGGAAATGGGGTCTCACCCAGGCTGGCTTGGACCATGATTCTCTAACTTATACTCCTCCCCTCCCCAGCAGGGATAAAAGAAGTACACTACCAGTTCTAGCTTTTTCTGTTGAGATGAGGTCTTGAAAACTTGTTTTGCCTGGGCTGGCCTCAAACCATGGTCCTCCAGATATCAACTTCTTAAGTAACCAGGATTATAGGTATGAGCCACCAGTACCCAGCTTTCCTCTTTTTTATTTTTGTTTTTTTAAATACCACAAGGAAAGAATCCCAAATTTGGATTTGTATTTCAAAGTTAATTTTTATGAAAGTAGGAAAGTAAATATAAAATGCTTATCTTAGTCTATTCAGGTGTTTATTCTTATTCTATTCAGGCTGCTATAACAAAATGTCATATAGAGTATGTAGCTTACAAACCATAGAAATTTATTTCTCACAGTTCTGCACACTGGGAAGTCTGACATCAAGGTGCTGGCATCAGATGAAGTGTCCTGTCAGGATCCGTTCTCTGGGTCTTCTCACTTACCCTCAGGTGTTGGTAGGGGTAAGGTTGGTACCTCTGAAGTTTCTTTTTTTCTCCATTCCATTCACAAGGACTCTGGCCCCCATGACCTAATACTTCCCAAAGGCCCGTATCCTAATACCATCACTTTTTGGAGGAGGATTTTCAACAAATGAATCTGGGAAAATATAAATATTCAGGACATTGTAGTGTTGTATTTGGTAACAGGAAATTAGTCTTAGTTATATGATACCACTTTACCCGAGCCAAAAGAAAATTTCATAAATGTGTTAGTTTTTGTGAATGTTATTCAATTATATCTAGAAAAGTGTAGTTATTTTTAAATTGTAATATCATGAATTTTCTCTCACATTGCTGCGTGTTTTTCATAAAGCTATTTCTTCATGACTGCAGAATATTCTATCTCCTGAACATTATAAAAGTTCTCCTAGTGCATCCCCAGTATTTGCTCATTGAAGGTTTTTCTCCCCATTCCATTTGTTTCATTTCTTACTTCCATTCTTTGGAATTTTTCTTCTCATCATGTCCTCCCTTTGGCTTGAAAAGGATCCTGTCTTCCCTTCCTATCTGCTGTTATGTGAAGGTGTAGCCTATGAGATGGAAAGAAATGCATTAAATTTTCTAATTAAAGAATATTACATACTTGCCTTATGTCTCCCTCTTCCAGCTTGTGCTGTCACCTTTCCTCCTCCAATTGTTTTGTCCTTCAGAATGATGAGGGCTTTCAAGAGACTTATTTTCCCAGGAAGTACTAACATAGTACCATCTTAGCCTGACAGTGATGACAAGGACTCACAGACACTATTATTTCCTGGTGCTGAACTTAGGAGAATGGTTTATTTTAGGAAATAATAACAGCTAACACATATTACATATTTTCTGTATGTCAGGCATTGTTCTAAGCACTTTACATTTGCTAAGTAATTTATCTTCTTAACAGCCCTATCAGTTGGATTCTGTTAATTTACTCATTTTACAAATGAGAAAATGGTGGGACAAAGAGGGCAAGAAATTGCCAGAGACCACACACCTGGTAGGTGGTAAACTTGGGATTTGGATTCAGACAGCCTGGCACCAGAGTCGGGGTGCTTAACCATGAGTGTAGCCAATTATGCACTGAGGCCACTTTATCTCCCTAAGCTCAACCTGGCCCTAGAGGGAGAAGAGCAGCTGAACAATGTTTTTACCAGGAAAGATGAACCTGTTCCTGTGCTGGAGGGACCTGGGTTCGGGCCACTATCCTCAGGAGATTTCCTTTCATGAAGAGATTGACAGGCAGATGAGCTTACTTTGTTCATGGTCATTCCCTAAACATAACGAGTTCAGAAGCATGTCCAGGGCCAAGGCCAAGTATATTGGAAACACATGTGCCTTCCGGATCTCATTCATCTGTGTCCATAGTCCTAGCATAAAGCATGCCATCACACATGGAGAAGGTTATTGCGACACAGTAACATCATAATGGCTAGCATTTCACTGATCCTCTCTCCCCAGGAAGCAGTAAGGACTCTTGTAATGGACTACATGGAGAAAATAAATTCAGAGGGCTTTCCAAAGGTGAGTACAATTACAAAGTTGAGTCAGAGAGGGTATGAATAGTTATTGGCCTGTAGTTTAGGGAATAATAGAACCTTAGGGTTCAAAACAGTATTAAAAGTTATCCCCAGTAAGTATGGTGGTGTACTTTTGTAATCCCAGTTACCCAGTAGGTGGAGGCAGGAAGATCTCAAGCTGGAGGCTGGTTAGGTAGATCCTCTCAAAAACAGAAGCACTGGGGTGTAGCTCAAGTGACAGAGTGCTTGCCTAACAAGTGAGAGGCCCTGGATTCAATCTCCAATACTACAAAACAAAAACAAACAAAGCACCTTGTTTTTTCATGACGAACTAAAATCCCCGGTCATCCTTCCAATGACCTGAATCCCTCCACAACAGCTCTGCTAAGCAAATGCTCTGCTTGGGTACCTGTTCTTGTTGAAAATCTCACTACCAATCAGTCTATTCCAGCTCTGTAAGGCTCGTTAGAAAGTTCGATATTTTGTTGAGTGGAAATCTGTCCTCCTGTAGCTTCTGCCAATTGGGCCTAATTCTACCTGTGTATGTTAGAGAACAAGTCATCTCCTGCTTCTGCACAATCCCGGGGAAGACTGGAAGCCAATGATTATGTTCTCCCAGAGCTGCTTCTTTCAGGCTAAATATGCATGGTGCTTGAATTGTGCCTCTTTTCGCATGGTCTTCTGCCATGTCAAGTTTGTATTTAATGACTGCTTTCTATCTGGCTCAGAGCTCTCCAAGTGTGGACTAGACTACCCCATATAACCCCAGCCATCTTCAAAGGAGAACCATCTCTCCCTCCCAGAAGACTGTCTATAAAGAGTGCCTGGGACTTCTGAGGGTTCCAGGGATTTTGGGTAAATCTGGCTCTTAGTCAGAAGGGGCAGGAGACAAGAATTAGGCTTTTGCAGTTGAGACATTATTTGGATGCTTACTACATGCTAGATTTTGTGCTACACACTTAACATGAATTATCTCATTTAATCCACTCAACAGTCCTTTTAGATGCTAGGGCTATGATCCCTATTTCACAGCTGAAGAAACTGAGACATATAGGCTTCCCCAGACTGGGTGGCTTATGTTAGGAATAAGGCCAGATATTAATAGGGAGCAATGAGTGAAGATTTGGGCTGTCAACAAAGGGCAGTATCTGGCTAGTGATGGGCTTCAGAAAAAAAAAAAAAACCAAACCAAAAACATGCATAACACTGAAAAGGGGGATTGGGCATGTTGGTTCATGCCTGTAATCCCAGCTACAGGGGAGACAGAGGTATGAGAATCACTGTCCAAGACTGGCTAGAGCAAAAAAAAAAAAAAAAAAGTGAGGTCCTATCTGAAAAACTAAAAGTACAAAGGGCTAGAGGTATCGTAGTAGGGCTCTTGCCTAGCTTGAGCAAAGCCCTAAGTTCAAACCCCAGTACCAACCAAACCAACAAACGAAATAACAAAAACAAACAAGAAGTAACAGTGAAAAGTGGAGCTGGGGTGATGCCAGGTCTTCTAAAGCCCCAAAAACCTAAAGGGAGAAGAGCCATGCATGAGTGGCATGGAAGGGCATAAGGTGGAGAGGACATCCTTTAACCCTCTGTTACATGCCTACTAAGCTAGGTGTTTTACATAATAATCTGCTTTACCCTCAAGACAACCCTTCAAAGGGAGTTAGGACCTCTGTTTACAGAGGAGAAACTGAGAGTCAGTGAGGATAAGTGAGCCTGTAGCTGATAAGCAGCAGTGTCAGGACTTAAATGTGGACAGCTAAGGGTGACTGCATCTGACTCCCAAAGGAGAAGAGTGGAGACATGGAAGGGAAGGAAATTTCTCTCCCACGAGATGGGGATCCTGGAATTTATGAGGTAGCTCAAATATGCAGGCAATGCCTGGCACTCCTTAGAGATGACAGAGAACCTGGTTTGCCAGACATTAATGATGTTAGCCATAAGGCTATCCTGATATGCGATTTCCTCACGGAGGCGCAGAAACCGTAATCAGATAGCTGACTCAGAATCAGAAACCTGAGTTTTAAAACAGCATGTTTTTATTCATCTATAGTTTCTTCTTTTTTAAGTATTTCGTTTATTCTTGGATACTCTTGAATCAATGGTTTACAAGCATTAGTGTGCATCAGAATGACTTGGAGGACTGGTTCCGACCCCCAGAGTTCCTGACTCATTAGGTTTGGGAATTTGCACTTCTAACAAGTGTGCAGGTGATGCTGATGGAGCTGGCCCAGGGGTCAAGTTTAAGAACAACTGCTATATTTTATTACTGAAGCTTACTTGGCATTAAAAAGTAAGTACAGACAGGGTAAAGGATTTGTCTATAGGTCAGACACACTG